TGGTAATAGTAGACGAGTTTAGTGGTAATAGTGGATTTAAGAAAAACTTTTTATTTCAGTATCAAAATTCCTGGAATACGAAAATCAGACAAAAAGCGATGTGTATACCTTTGTAAAACAAGGAATTAGCAATAGATGCTGTTAAATATATTCAAGATGGAAAGAAATTTGAAATTCGTGATACCATTTATCGAATAAGGGCCAACAAGGAACATGTGACCTTAAATACAATTCTCTCAGAATTAAAAGATAGAAAATTTGACGACATTGGCAGAACAAGTCTATGGCAAGTGATACATAACTTGGGTTTTAAATTTCAAAAGGAGAAAGGCCCTTTGTGAAAGAAGTTCTGTCGTACACAAGAGAATTAACTTTCTAAGAAAATATTCTAAATTTAAAGAAGAAGAGGCGAATTTTATATATTTAGACGAAACATGGATATTTTCTAGGGGTGCAACCAAGAGAATATGGCAAAATGATAACGTAAAGTCCATCAAACATACCGATGGAGAAGGGAAGCGACACATAGTTTTACAAGCAGGAGGGAAATCGGGTTTTATAGAAGGTGCTGATTTAATATTTTCATCTAAATCAAAATCCAGTGACTATCACGATAATATGAATACAGAAATGTTTGTAAAATGGTTGCATGAAAAACTTCTCCCAGGTTTAAGTGAGCCCAGCGTAATTATTTTAGACAATGCACCTTACCATTCTGAAGTATTAAACAAAAGTCCAACGAATTCTTGGACTGTTGATAAAATTAAAGAATGGTTGATAAATGAACATAGACCATTTCCTCAATAAATATTAAAATCAGAATTATTACGCTTGGCAAATATACACGCAAAATCAAAAACCTTTGTTGTCGATCAGATTATTGAAAGTTACGGTCATCAAGTTTTACGTCTGCCACCGTATCATTGCCAGTTTAATCCCATCAAATATATATGGGAAATAGCAAAACAATATTATGACAACTATATTGGGCCTAATGGTTATAGTGACGACGTAGTTCGGGAAACTTGGCGAAAAGCACTTTCAATTGCAACTCCAGAAGTGTGGTGGAACTGTATATCCAAGTACGAGAAACTAATAGAAGATTGGTGGACTCATGAAAATAAAATAACATTTCGTTTATTTATCCAATCATAATAACAATTAATGGTGATGACAGTGATGATGATGACGATTATGATATTTTGGATTTCATTTTTGTTGGCAAGTTCAATTTTTTTATTTTTCATTTGAAATTCTCTACATGGAACAAATTTTTATGCTAGAAAATATTTTATTTGAGCTAAATAACCCTCTTATTATACATAGACCATATTTTCTGTGTGAAGTGTAATTTAAAATTATTATCAGGTTTATAATAGCCACATTATACTCCATTAATGAAGAAGTTTAATTATGCTCTCAATTATACAAAAGATTCTCCATTATTATTTAATTAAAAAGTTGTACATTATTTTTCATTTCATTTAACCAGTTGATATTTCCCCAAAGAACAGGTCAAACTTTCGGGTACTTACCTGGAAATACTCATAAAAATTTTAATCCGTAACCCGCGTAATTATAGCGAACAGACTGTAGCATGGTAGATCTTAGGTAAGTTTTACATGTGTGGTTATATTTTTAATAGCCCAAGATAGTAGAGACTTGTTACAACAATTATAAATGCTTCCTCTTCCTAAATCCATCCCCGAACTTAACTAATATGCAACATTTTCGGGATATATTAAAAACTGTCCCCATATTCTTTGTAAAACACACTTTTTTAAAGTCTATTTAACAAAACAATGATAAATAACAATTTTTTTCATTAAATTACATTTTTTTTTAAAACAAATATTTCTTTAAATTCAAGAGACGCTAAAATAGTGTTTCCCACCTTATCGAGACTGAGGACCACAAGGATAAGCTCGTAGCGTAACAAAAACGAGAAATGATTTAACTTGGAACGAAAGACCGAAAGCCGATAGTAGTATTATGACATTGAATTGTTTGGTTTGTGAAGCATTGGCATTACTTAGGTTTAATCATGGGATGATTTTCACAAGCCTTGATTTTTAAAACCATTCTATATCGCTTTTTGATTAGGGTTTAAAAACTTGTTCGAGCAATTTATCTAATAATAATTGACCCCTTTACCTCTTAAGCCTGCTCATGTAAAATATTTGGGCTCCTTACTTCGCCTATTTATATTCTAATAATAAAGAACAGAAGGATGAGCATTGCAACTATACTTATATAATAAAAATGACATTCAAAAGTAACCTCAAACAATACTCGATAAATAAACAGAACGGATATACTTTCTTGTAATAATACTCTTTAAACCTGCCCTTTTTAAGTATTTCCTTTAATTTATTGTTATTTTACCCCTCGTTTTACCCGCATTTATTATAAATTATTTCTGTTTTGAGATCATGTACTTTATTTTAAAAAATTACTTAATGTTATATTAATACTACTTACTATGTTTGAATTATTAATAGTTTTGCGACGTTAGGTTATAGCAACTTATAGCCATAAAACTATTTTTGTGTTAAAGTAGATCCATAGAGAGCAATGTAGTTTACAAAGGCCTTCTGTCAACATACAGATAAATGACAACTTTATAATTAAAATGAAAAACACAACAAAATACCTCGGTATCATAATTGATCAAAATTTAAAATGGGTTGATCACACTACGTCATTCAAATTCCAATTTGATAAGATTCATTTTTAAATTTTATGACTTGGAGTTTACTAATTATTATTTACAACTCGCTGGTTGAATATGTAATCCAAAATCGTATAATTAAAATTATCTACAAAAAACCAGCATTATATCCTACTTCTCTTTTATATAATAAAAAAGTGCTTTGTATAAGAACATTATATTATCTGTCTTGCTGTACCTTTATTTATGGAAAGTATGAATTGAGATATATTACAAATTATTTGCAATAAATATCAAAATAACTATACATTTTTAAATAATTTGACATTTAAGAGCCATTCATACATCACAATTGACATCTTAATACTTGACAGGCACAGCCAAGCATTATACTGATTTTGCAAAATAAAATGGCCAGTAAATTATTCTATGGGGTTGCGACAGAGAGCCAGTAAATTTGATTAAGGTGTTTTTGTGGCTAGGGGCAAAATAGTAGTAAGCTGAAGTTAGCACCACCGTAAGAAAGTCATTTTTAAGAAACTGCTTATATATTTTTCATAAATTGGCAGGCTTGGCAACTAATTTCGAATAAAAATAGCCTCCAAAATGGCTATGGTTGCAAGTATGAAGGTCGCAACCCACCTTAGAAATTTCACCTTTACTATCAACAGCTGTTGTTTGACAGGTCGTTAGAGAATGTTCACACAGACGACCAGACTAATTTTTTTTTGCATTTTCAGACTCAGAATGATCGGAAACATGAAAAAAAGTTTTAAAAAATGTGGGTAAGAAAATTTTTTTGTCTGCACGAGTGCAATACTGGGGCTCCATAGGAAGGGCCTCAGTAATATTAGAATAATTCAAAATTAACACATCAAAATTTGATTAATTTGTTATATCCGGTGAAAAAAACTTTTTTTTTATATGTAGAATTATCGGGTTTCAAATGTTTTCAAAGATCGAGAAATCTCTAAATTTTCTCGAACTCGAAAAGTCTGGAAAATAAAATTACGAAATCGAGACGAGATGAGAAAACTCGAAGTTCGAGTATCTCGTGAAAGCCACATGTGAAGGGTAAAGGGGTAAACGTAGATCATGAGCATTTTTATGTTTTTTCACAGAGCTATTTTAAGTTTGAAATTCTTGTTTGTGAACGTTGTGCTGTTTTTTTTTTAATATTCGAAATTAATCTAATATGGACTAAATGATAAACAAACTTCTTAAGCATTTTGGGACGATTTGTATTTCTGTGAACGAAGAAAAATAAAAAAATCGCATACAACTACAAAAATTACAGGGGAAAAAGGGTAAATTTTATTCAAATGAGCCCGTTCAGGCTCCAAAATATTCCTAAAAAAATCAATAATTATTATTGCCTTTAGAAAATTGACCTTTACATTCAAAACTTGTTAAGAAGCGAATTACCTACTGATATCCGAAATATAAAAATATAATAAGAAAAATAGAGGAGATATTAATGAAAAATCTGAAATACTTCCATAATTAACTGATTTTTAAATATCAGTCGAACTTAGCATGTTAAAATGTTTTAATATGCCATTTCTTCTGTCTTAGGGCACAACGTTAATGCATATTTTCTAACAATATAAATCAAAATGAGTAAAAACGCGCTCATTGCATGACATTTTTACAATGAGACCGTTTTTGGGTGGTCTGTGCACCATGAGTTCATTCTTGCCAAGTATAGCCTTTATTAAAGGTAGATTATCTCTTCAATAAGCGTGTTTTGTCTAGTTTGGAATCTAGAAGGTGAAAATCCATGAAAAATAACATCAATCCTAAAAATATCGCACTTTCGCCCAAAATTGCAATGAGCTCCTTTTACTCCTGTGCCCTTCATTTATGTTTGTTTGCAAACCAGAAATTGAAATGTTAGAGGGTTTTTCAAATGTCTAGGTACAGGTGTAGCGAGCTCACCAGCGTCGGTGATTAAACTTCGTAGTTAGAAATATACCGATTTTAAAATTACAAAAATTTGTTCTTGAAACATAATAACTAGGAAATTTATTATCCACCACCCACCAGAATGAATCTGGCTTAGATGAGCATTATACTTTCCCTTATCAAGGCGAATAAGCAAATCGAGAATGTGAAGGAATTTTGTTTTAGATGACAAAATTTGAAGAAGCATCGACTGTTAAGTACATTTTAATACAGTTGCCTTTTAATTTAAAAATATTTTTTTCCGTTAAATAAATCATCTATGAAAATATTCAATTAAGATAGAGCCTATTTTATAATTCATTACTTGCTTTAACTACAAAAAAAATGTCTAAAAAAAAACGAGATAAAATTTACAAGAGCTCACCTTCATAAATTCAACACTGGATTCCAGGGGATTGTCGAATCGAAATAAAAGCAGAAAATTCTCTTCCATCGGCAGAAGCTGAGCAAGCTAGAAAAAAAATAACAGACATGTTTTACATTTTTTATCGAACAATCGCAATCGGTGAATCTGCCAAATGAATATATAATTTTAGCAGTTTCAACATTTCTATCCTCCGGAAGCGTTGAAGCACCACATTTTTTTTATTTTTTCATACTCCGAAGTCAGAATAGTAGATTATTTTAATTTAAAACTCAGAAATATAGTTTTGGTCGATTTATAAGTCAGAAAAATATCACACATAAGGTGCGCATAATATGGTTTTTTTTTCTTCTTCTAAAAGCTGTAGATAAATTTTGACTGTTATCATTTGTTGCTTCAAAAATGATGACTTTTTGTCAATTACCATTTTTTTTAAATTTAAAAAAATTGTATTATTTTTTAAAATTTCCAGAAATGCCTAAAAAAAGTTGCTTATTTCTTAATTTTTCACCCATATAGTTACTAATTTTCGCGCTACTTTTGTTTTCTTTTTATTTCTTTAGCAATTAATTTTCAGGTTTCTGGAATTTTAGCAAACCTGAATAAAATATTTCTACACGCGAAGCGCTCCTTTTAAATGTATTTTTGTTTTTAAATGTTGCTTCATAAAAAATAGGCGACTTTTTCTTTAGATATTTCTCGAAATTTTGAAAAACAATGCCAATTTTGGCAATTTTTAGGAAAACAATGTCAATTTTTGACATTTATTAAAGTCACGTGATTGACTATTTGCATGTTATTCGTTATCATTTTTGAAGCAATAAAAAATGGCAAAGTCAGAATTCATCTGAAGCAGTAAAAAAAAAAAATGTGTGACACTTTATGAATATGGAGTGATCCACAATAAATGTTTCTGAAGTAGGCCTTGGAAAAATTCACGCATGTCAAAGTGAATAATTCTTAAGAATCAGTTATAAGTCTAAGGGTCAATCTTTTCACCTCTGAGTAAAGTTACATGTAAGTTTACTTGACAGATTAACAAACAATAGTCCTATAGTTTAATCAGCAAGTAGTTACTTTCAACTTTACTCAGAGGTGAAAAGACTGGCCCTACACTGAGAAGATTTTTGACTTGTCATTATTCAATATCTAACAATAAAAGTTTTTAAAAAACCTGCCATTATCTTCCTGTAACCATTGTATTACCTTTATTAGATAAACATTTATCTTTAGTTTACAATTATTTAGTAGTTATTCAATCAATTTGCTAATAATTCAGGAATAACCGTTAGTTGGCATTGACTAAAAATAATAAAAAAAACTATCAGTTATCTTTTAAATTTTAATACCGCCATCTACTAGTAGTAATAACAACATACAATTAAGGTTATTTTTTTTAACTACTATACCGATTGTCGGGCTGTACGCCAGGTTGAGTGACGTTTCCAAAGATACAATGCACATGAAGTATCTAATAATTATAAACTAAAAATGCTGATTTCAAAAAGACATATGAACCCATCGACAGCAAATAATCTCCTCGAGAAGTCCTACTACCATACTGTACCACTACTACCTGTATTATGGTTACTAAATTGCCCCCAACATAGAAAAGTATGTTCGTATTTCATAGGTAATTTGATGTTTTTTTGTTTGACATAGGTGCATTTTTATTATTTGTTACTACACTTTATTTGTTACTTTGCAAATTTTACAATCGGCAACGTTGGAAATTTTGACGTTTCCCGCCGGCCAAGAAGAAAAAAAGTTATGACCTTGATGCACGGCGTACTATAAAGGTGTTTCAACTCCCTGAAAAAAACATACCAAAACCGATCGTACTTCCTAGCCAAAATCCGCTAGGTTCGCTAGTGTCGTTACGGCGGAAAATTGCGGCAATCTTTTTATCTGTCAAAAAAGTGCAATCATAAAAATAGTTCTTCTATGGTGAAAATTCGAGTTTATATGAAATGAAAAATGACAAAACTATCAGGAGTACAGATGAAAAAATTAATGGTCAATAAATAAGTTTATTGTTATTGATGGTTGCTTATAAATGTTTTTTTTTTTTAAACAAGCTGCACTGATGTGTGAGTTTATACGATCAAAAAAAGTGTTCAAGATTTAATAAATATGCTCCAATTAAGTTACAAGTTGCTGCCAGAGACTTGCTACTAAATAAGTGAAATGGGGGTGTTTATAAAAAACAGCTGATTTTGTTTTGTGTTCAAATATTACCTTTGGCTTTGGCAAAAACAGCAATACAGTGGGTTACTGATTATAAAATGAAGAAGTGGACCTTAACTATGATACTCAGATTGAAGCTTATTATTTTTAAAGTGAATTTTGTGATTTTCATTGCACAGATTAAAGATATTCAATAAACATTTAGTTTTATACCTACTATAATCAAATCCATACATAGTGATTGGAATTACAAACATTTCTGTGAAATAGCATTATACCAAAATAATGAAGTCTCACTGGACTGGAGTATATATGTTTCCAAAGATCAGTAAGTACCTATATCAATTATTATTATTTTTATTAATAAGTATCAGTAATAAATACATCTCAAAGAATAACAAGGTTGTAACTGTACTTTTTGGAAAAAATGAAATTGGTAGAATATATTATTTAATTTGTTTTGTGACCAATATGTTCATCTGTTAATTATCAATGTTGTGTTATCGAAGCACTAAAGTTATTCACATGGTTCTATCTGCATGTACATAGAACTTATACAGTTTTTAGCAAGTGTCATTATAATAGTCAGATCTTCGTTATTCCCTAATCCCTAGCAAATGTAGTCTCCATCCTCCACAATTATATTAAGATTAAAGGCCAGGTTTTTACCTCTGAATAAAGTTGAAAGTAACTACTTGCTGATTAGGCTATATATTATACTTACACCTAACTTTATTCAGAGGTTAAAAAATCTGCCATTAAAAGAACAGTGAGTTTTAGAGCATAAACCTTATTAAATATAATGGGTGTTTTTTTATTAAACTTTTTGTTTTTAAACAGTTTTGGTTGAAAATTATAAAAAAAATGATATAGGATACCTGGAAAGATTTATAATATAAAACAACATTTAAAAATTCTGAATTAACAAAAGTATGTATTTTCTGTTCCAAGCGTTGTCTCTGTTACTTAAACTAAATACTAGAAATAAAGTTTTAACTGGCAGTTACTACTATGCTCTCTCAAATATTCTAAAAAATGCTGCAATGCTAGATGAAATCTTTAATTAGGCATCAAATTTGTAAAATGTTAGAGATAGTATGTAGGTATATAGGGAAAATAAAAAATATAATTATAATGAAGAGTAAGAACTTTTAAATTTTAATATAACTAGAACAAAATATTGAGTAATTAAAAATTTTGATAGGAATTAAAAATTATGCTTGAGTATAAATGTTGTGCTTGTTTTTAAGTGGTTTCGATTTACTTTAGGTTTGTTCCAACAATGCTCAGAAATGAGTTACTGACATCGGGATTCTGCACAGTAGTTTATCGATACTGCAAAATTGTGTACTACCCAGTGGTTTGTTTCTGATCATTGTTGGAACAGACCTTTTATTCAATACATAATTGAACAAGTTAAATGTGTATTTGGATTTTTTTTAATTTTACAAATCTCAAGCTTGAATATGGATTTTCAAATTATGCACTTTTTGTAGTTTTTAATAATGCTTATTTTTTTTTTAGTTTCTTGTTCATTTAATAAAGATACTTTTTTGTATATGGGGTGATAATTTTTAAGCAGAGGCGTGCAGCACCCACAAGATCACTGCCAGAATTAAAGCAAATGGGTAATCTAGAAATATGGAGTAGGTACCCTGCACGTAAGATTTTCAAGAACTTGTAAATACAATGTTTTAATGAATTATTGCCGTTATCAAAGTTAAAGGTGATGAAACACTCATGAAAATTTGTAAATATTTAACCCTTTCAGTGTATTTGTCCCTCCAGAGGGACACTGTCTTAATTAACCCTGAAGTATACATCTGTTAATTTTGGTAGAAATTTTTTCTTTTTGGTTTATTTACTTTATTTGCATTACTTTTAAGGATTAATATTATAAAAAAATTATTTTCATAGTAAATTTTTGTTTTTGTAATGTCCCTGAACAGGGACGTTATGTCTTGGAGTAATAAAAAATACTATGAAAAAATTTTAATTTACTTAAAATAAACAAAGAAAACATACAATCTACTACAATGGTATTTTTTTTAATGAAAGTGGAAGTGAAAGGGTTAAAAAAATAAAAGTAATTTATCAGATTTATGTATGATTTGTTCTTGTAGTGACAGTCACTATAAATTTGAGAAGTGTGCTAATTGAAACGGGACAGGGCTCATATAGTTTTATTTAAAAAGTAAACCTTGTCATTAATTAAATATAAATGATTATTATATTACATTATTGAAATATATAATGTAAAACAAATTGTTGTAATGTTTTTCTGAAATCGGAAGTGTTGTCAGGTTTGTTACTGTCTGCTGCTAACTGTGATGTGTACAAGCGAACATAATAAACCTACTTATTGAGTACATTAATATGAAAAACTCATAATAAATCTGGAAACTATATATTTGAAATTTTCCTACTTATTTTTTCATTACTGCTATTATCTAATAGAACAATTCCTATGCTTTTATTTAATATTTAATTTTCCACAAATAAATATAAAAAAATAATTAGTAAAATTATAAAATGAGTTCCAATTAAATAATGAACTATATTATTAATTTAAATTGTTAATATAAGAAATGAATAAATTAAGTAAGTAAAAGTGTAATAATGGGAAATGTGTAAATTGTATTTATTTCTAATTTTAAATAATTTTGTGTGTATTGTTAATTTTCTTTCTAATGTAAAATTAATAAATTAATAATTTTAACAAAAATTTAATGAGATGTTTTATTCGAATACAATAAGAAGAACACTGCTGTCATAATGATTACTTCGAATTTCAAATACATACTATCTATAACTTATCAATAAATAAATATTAAGTTGTTAGATATAAAAAAATATTTCCTATATTCCTAAAAGATTAACACTTCACCCCCAGTGGATAA